ATTCTGAACGAGATTAAAAGATAATTTCCACACGTGCTGATAGCACACGTTGTGAAATTTATTTGTTCAACAGTAAGGTAGAACAGAACAATACTTTTACGATTGATTACGTTTTTTGCTATAATTCTACGATACTGATTCAATGAACGGAACATTTCTCTTAGACAAATACAGCTAGATTTTTTGTAAAATACTACAACATTTATTGTATAACATGCTTAAACAACGTAGACCATTTTGCAGTTATGAATTACTATGTTCTAACTTCCTAAACCTATTTAGCTGTTTTGATAATATTTTTTTTATTGTTTAGTGCCTTTTAGTGTGTAAATATTAACATGTTTCATGTGTCTTTTTGTAATTAATATTAATTAATACGTGAATAATATTTATTTTTTAAGTTTCGCACTTCCTGTGCATTTCTTTAATTTAATTTTTTTCATCATTATTTTTCAAAGATGGGTAGTTTGGAAGAGATCGCTTAATAGCGGTAAGGCCGTCCCTTACATTGTAATGTGTGTTGTGAAATAAAGAGTTAAATAAATAATGTTTTAAAAACTTATACCCTAGACTAATATACGCCTAGTTTTAAAGAGCCTTCGGTTATCAGCGTAGCCAACAGAGCAGTAAGAAATAAACTGGATGAAACTTCGATAATAAATATTGTAAATGACTTTGGAAAGTAACAATAATTACTTTTCGGTGTACTCACTACGTAACTATTCTATTAGTTAAACTTCTGATAAACTATAAATATTTGATTTTGATATATTCGTATGTTTTTAGTGATATAATTTATAATTGAATTCCCTGATTCATTTATGAGTATTGCAGGGAAGCGTAATACTTATAGCGGTTTATTTCAAACATATCGCGAATGCTTACGTCTGAACGATGTCAGGTCTGGTTACAAAGGAAAACCGATACTGGGGAACACCCTATAGGCTTCACCTGTTATTTACCTGCGTTGACTCAGAGAGATGGCGGTGAGGTCATTCTTGTTGCTTGCATGCTTTAATTATTTTTAACAAGTGCTAAAAAGATAATTGTTTCACTTCTTGAAACGTCGTGAATTTCATTTGGCGACACCAAACTAGTGTTAATGGAATAAACAAAGTGTATTTAAGACGTTAATTGTTTTGGTTACATAAATGTTACAATGTTAGGTGTCACAATTATATTGTGAGCTTCTTGTTCCAATTATGCAATACATGTTGAATGACGAATGGGTTCGATTCCTATCTGGTCACTTGTACAGTCACCGTCCATAGAAAGCCGTGAAATTAAAATTTGTTACAGAAATATGTCCAAAGCCAAAGGTCGACAGCGCATCTGGCTAAGTTATACATATAAGGAAAATCAATACACAAGCTCTTCTAACACTAAAAGTCCGAAAGTCCATTAGTCCGGTATATCCAAAGTTGCTTTTCGAATTCTGCGCACGATCTGCTCACGATAGGAGGAAAATATATCGCGAGGGATTTACCGATCATCTTTTGTCACCGCACCTATAAGTCCTTCCTGCTAAAAAAGGAAGTCTTACAGATTAAAAATCGATTATTAATGTAAAAATTTACGACACGGTAGCTCAATTCGTTAGCGCATCAGAACGGGACCCTGTGGATGCCGGTTCATGTCCTGTCCATGTCGTATTTTTTAAATTTATAATCAATTTTTTAATCAATATAGTGCGATGTAAAAATATTAATGAATATCAATAATTACAATTTTAATTACGACCCAACGTTTCGGGTGGCATCAGCCGTGGTCGCAAGATTTCCAATGATTGCAAATTGAATATCTTTCGCATTTTAAACCGTTAAACTATTTTTCCACATCTACATAAATCAAACACGTGAATGTATCAATACATACATAAAGCTGAAGAGTTTGTTTGTTTGACGCACTAATCTCAAGAACTACTGGTTCAAATTAATTAATCGAAAATTAATTGAATTGTTTTATATCAGTGATATAAAAACATGTCCGGGACAGAATATGTCTATCTTTTAAGATTACATATCTTGCAAATTCGACGGGACGCAGACGACGTCGTTGGTAACAGCTATTCCTAATTTATAAAGTTAAAGAGACCATAAAAAAAGAACTATTTTACGCAGACAAAGTCGCTGGCACAGCTAGTACTGAATAGTACTCAAGCGATTTGTTACTTTAAAGAAAAACACAAGAATTACGGCTTGGATTGTTAACAGTTTAGAAAGTATAATAACATCTATTGTTCGTCGTTGATAATTGTTACAAGTGTTTGATTCTCGGTAAAGTACTTCAGTAATCTATGTCAGGGCTTAGATTTAGATAAAGCCTAGTGCTTTCGTCAAAATGTTAGCAAACACGTTTATAATTAGTAGACGCCTTTATTTACCAGCGCTTCCATGTATAGTTAGTTTTACTCAGTTTTATGTTTAAAGTAAAAAACTTTTAACTGTTAAAAACGTTACTCATGCTTGCTAAGTTATTTTTAAATTTAGTTAACTACGACGCGACATTGCCCGCAATTTCAATAGAAATAGGTGTTGCTCTCAAGATATCAAACGCCTGAAATCCCATATTAAAAACACTAGATCCCAAAAATATAGCATAAGAACGATAGGATCCCGTTAGTCAGTTTCTCCAAATGCAAACTATGAAACAGATGGCGCTAGCGTAAGTTATGATTGTTTTATTTAAATGTGTACTACTCGCGTAAACTACAGGCTATACTTATTGTTTATTAAACAACTATAGAATAAACCGTTTTATATATTTTCCTCATTATCTTAATTTATAACAAAAATTTATAATTGTTAATTCTTATATTACTTATTCATGCGGAATGCGCCTTTATTTGTTTTCACAGCGCATCCTAGTTGATAATGGATTTAAATATTTTACATTTAAAATCGTAATCAATATAATACAATTAACACACATATTTGATTTTAAGTGGTTTTTAAGGATAAAGTACATCACGGGCTCGTTTAGATAGCAAATAATTGTTGAAGCTATGAGATAAGGTAATAAATATGACGATAAAAATTTAATATGTTTGACTGCACAGTGACAACTTAAATTATATTATTAGAGAAGAACAGACATGGTTACTTAAAGTTGAAATACCCCAGCCACATTAATCAAAAATCGATTATAAATTGAAAAAAAATATGACTCGGACAGTACTTGAACCTCTATCCACAGCGTTTCTTCTTGCTGCTCTACCCCAGCCATGTAAATTGGAAATAAGATGCTGTCGACCAATTTTACCGTTGGACTTTAGCTATTAAATTAAAATTGTGATATAAAACTAGCTTAGTTTATATTAAAATGTTATGAGTTTTATTTAACTAGATGGATGGGCAAAGAGTATTTTTAGTTACAAATTTATTATTATTAACAATATATTATCATACTTCACAATGATCTTATACGGCGGGTTAATATAAAAAGCATAAAATGAATACATTTATGTAATATAAGCACGTGTACCATAAAACGAATAAATTTGATGAAGACACCATAAAATATCAATTTATATGAGGAAAATTATTTTTAATACCATATCAAGCAGGACATTACGCATACAACCTAACGTAAACCTTAGAAGCCTAGTTATGAAAAACTGAAAAAGTGCAAGTCGGATTCTCGCAGTAGATTTTCGTACTGACAAAATTTAACATACAAGTAACTTACTTACTTTAATTATTTTCAATTATCTACACTACTTTTCGCATCCACCTCTGTAGCTAAAGGGTTAATCGTGTTGCCGTGTATTGCGTTAGGCGCGAGAGGTCCTGGGATCGAATCAGGGGGAAACAATAGATTGTTTCGTTCGGCAGGGCACAACAGTCTGACCAACAGAAATGTGTTTGCCCCATGTACTACAATCCTTTTTCAATCATGTTTGAGTATGCAAATTTATTTAAAGCCAGGAATCTTCTTCTATTTGTGACCGTTTCTTCGTCTATTCGCAGACGGTATTTATGCGACATGTATGTATAAAATAAAATAATAGGTACTTCAAAAATCTATCTATCAAACAAGCAAGCACTTCACTGTAATGACTGGATTTACCTGCACTTCAAAGGCCATTGTAAATATATAATTGATATTTAATAAATTAATAATCCATTGTCGTCTAAAAATATATACTTTTAATAGTTCTGTTTTACACAATAACTCTGTAATATTATAGAGGGCGCTACATGAACCTAAATTGATAAGAATGAAAATTGATATATTATAGCTACAAATGTTTTCAAGAGAAGACGATTGGCTAACATAATCTCTCCCAATTAATATTGTTATCTATCAACAGAAGAAACGGTAGGGCTGTCAACTCGTTATAACATTCGCTTTGTAATGCATGTTGTAAATGTAATCAGTAAGTACCTAGTAATATTTTCGTTATCTAAAAATGTATTTACAACAGTTACCTGATAATGTTGTAAATGTCGATAGGATAATAAAGATATATTTACTTAACATTTATATATACTCTAGTTACTATATACATGGTATAGTCAGCCAAAATAAATTTTAATGTCTGCCAAACTAAAAATTCATTCATCTTTTACAATACCAACTGACACCATCTTCGAGGGTGAATGCACTTTGAGGTTATGGTGTAATTCAATATGGTGTCGTAAACAGGGCTCTACCTCTTAAACGGAAAGCAGAGAGATTTGAGGCCTTAAAGAAAATAAGGCTATTAAAACATTTAGTTGTATTATTTACATATAAATTAACTACAAATAGTAGATTAAGATATAATAGTAATCATACCGGTTATAAGTAGTCGAGATATATGTATATATTTTTTTTTATTATATGTAAATATATCCAAAGACAAAATAAGTCGACAGCACATTCTGTCAAGATGTTATTAGGGGTACATCACCTTCTATCAAGAGAACCCCATGCTTGTCTGTACAAAAAAAATAATTTTTAGCACTTTATAAAGAATCGATTTTTATACCTACGTGGCAAAGCAAAGAGACAAAGAAATGTTCAAGAACATTGCCCAGGTACATGGCAACCCAACGTCCACATCATCTGCTTTGCGGAGAGAGAATCTAGACATCTGGCAGCCCTACTTCGGTTCACTGACGATTAAAAATTCACACGATCCGATCATTGACCGGGGGGCTGAACCGGTCGACGACAGACAACCCCCTTTATAAGTCTTTATCACGTCTGATTGAGCTATTCTGTACTCACCTGATTTTAAAACACGGCGCGTCTCTCGCGAACGCAGTATTTACTTGGTCGCAGTGTCGTTCGGTCGCGGAGTTAAGTGTCGGTCAGAAATGTAACTGTTTGCGCTAAGTCCAATTATCACAGACTGCATGGGGTAAAATTGGCCAGTGTACATATTTTTGTAAATATCTTTTTAAGTGTTTAAAATCCTGTGATATTAGTTTTAAGAAGGAGGACACGAAGCAAGTGAGTATCATTTTTATTAACCAAATTATTATTATACAGCGAAGGAGAATTTAATTTTAATTAATGCTAGAGATAAGAAAAATATAATAATAATTTGGTGAAATATTTTTAATTTTAGCTTTGTAAGGTTTTTTTTTTACGTCTAAGTTTTTGCTATATTATGTGTGTTCCATCGTTCTTTGAAATATTTATGATAAGCAAACTCAAATTGCCTAAAGTAAAACCCGAAATGATGAATGGCCAGGTAAGGTCGACTTAGCAGGGTTGCCAGACAGGTAGGTGGTACCTTGGTGTTTTATTTGGTGTCGTAAATATAATTGTTTCTTTTTTAACTTTCTCGATGTTGCATGAATTATACATAAATAACACAAGCGTATTTTCTGGACCCAAAGCTGGTAACGTAAGTAACAACAATAATTTATATTTATTAAGCCCCGCACAGTATGAATCTGCCAAATATTACTATTGTGATAAATTAAGTAAAAGTATTTTTTGCACTTTATTTAAAGTTAGTTTTAAATAAATAGGTATTAGTGAATGAAACGATAGCCCTATCGAGTACAATGGAATAAAGGTTTGTTTAAACAAAAGCACCATTCATGTTTGAAAAATGTTTGATCTTTAAATGTTTAGAATTCGAAGAATGTTTTTGAAACTAAACCTACGGAACTCAGGTTTTAGTGGATTTCAATCTTTCCCACGAAACCCTAAAAAAAAAAAAATAACTAATATATATCGGAGTTGAATAAGATATTAAACTAACATAATCCATTTCTTTACAGAGAGCTCTACATATTGTTTGTCTTATCAGTTTTTATTGTGTAAGCATGTGTAGGAATCTTAACACGATATTAACTGTTATCTGAGGTTCTATTAAAAATAGTTGACATTATCATTAATTACTTAACGGTTCAAAACTGATATAATCTATTAGATATTTCTCTAAAGTTGAAAATATTTTAGCTAACTTGTTAGCTAGTTCACTTAAGTGAAGACCACCAGCCCTTATCTAAATAAGATGTGTTTCAAGCCTATTTTGGAGACTTGATGAATATTCTCGCAATAATTGCTTTTACTATTTAACTACTTTAAACGTTTCTTGATATTACAAGAAAGGACGAACAAAAAAAATAGGTAATATATCGAAACCTAGAACTTCAAGGAGTTGTATGTTGTTTTTCGAACAATTACAATATTTAAAGTCTTAACTTTTACTGATACGTTCAAATACCGAGAATGTGAACAATTGCCAATGAAAATGCAATTGCCTTGAAAATGTTATTATTATATAATTAACAAAAGACTTATTAAGGATTATTGAAACAATACAATTTTAAATAACTCGTACGGTTAATTTGAATAAATTGACTCGGTTTATGTTTTGTAATTATTCGGGAGATAAGCGGTTAATAATGACGAGAGGCAGCAGCTAAGGCAAAGTAAACTAAATGAAAACTAGAAATATTTCCAATTCGTGAAAATTTTCCTCGGATACTTATCAGTATTGGTATAGTTCATATTAGGCTTATCAGCTAAGGTAACTGCTAGAAAAATATTTATATTGAATTATTTCGAAATTTCTGGAAACTGGAAAATTAATCCACAAATGAATATATCTTTAAGTTTAGGTAATAAGAATGTATGTCAGCCAGGATCCGAAAAAGAAAATTTAATATTTAATACCGTCTGTAATTTAAAAAGTAGTACGTTTTGCAGAGTGATACGTCGAGCCGTAGTTAAAAAAACATATAATTAACTAATATATACTTATCGCGTTTTAAACCGTTTAACCGTGTCAGGTAGTTTGTTGTCTGTCTACTCAATCATACGTTAAATATAAAAGGCGCATATATGAATTTCTTGCGTGGAGCAGAGAGCAGCCATTATTTTGTGTCCTTTTCACTGTTTCTGATTTCAGGCTTTGATTCCAAATATTTACAACTGAGGCCCAAATAGGCACATGCATATACATATGTAGTATGTACATCAGCACATTTCGTGAAACGCATGACTACACTAAAATCACATTGTCCAAAGTTCAACGTTTATTGTGTCAATCCGCAGACGATTCGATACAGACATACTGATTCGATAAAACTAATAAAATATTAAATTTCCAACAGTAAAATAATAAAAAGTTTTTATTGCCTTTCAAGAAAATATTAAATTATTTCGATTTAATCATTTAATCGCGCGAAATATTCCTTTGTAACAATTGTAAATCGAAGATTAGAATTATTTTTCGTGTCGTAAATACCGCTAACCAATAAAAATTTAAGCTTTTGTCTGCATCATGCGCATAGTAACGGAATAAATTGGAAAACAAATTCACCCTTTTGTCCTACGTTTTGTTAAGACGATAAACGTCTATAGAACGATAAAATAGAGGGTGTAAGTATATAAGATACGTACACAAAAATGAATCCGGTTTTACAGCTACATATATATTCTTAAGCCACAAATTTAAGCCTTTTTAGAATTGGATGAAGTTAAGTACAGTGAATTAATTGATGGAGGGGATTTTATATGGTGGAGAGGATACCCCAACCTATAAAATTTCAACAAGAAAGATTTCAAATATATGTATATAAGAAACTTCACGGCTTTTTCATCGGTGAACGGCGAATTGTGATCCGGACGGCAATTCGATATTCCTACTCACTTAATATTCAGATTATCAGGCGAAGTCCAATCCAGTTGTCCAGTCCAATAATTATACATCTATTAGAAACATGTAGGACCTGGTGGGGATCGAATACACGGCCAGATTATTAGCCAAACATTGAAAATTAGACTAAGGAGCCCGTCTATATATTCTCTTTTCGGGAAAGTTACTACAAAAGGTAATGTGTTTTAATGTTAGGTAGAGTACCTTTATATGTTTAATTGGTTATCTTTTCATTCCCCACTTCTAACCAAATATGACGTTCGCACTAACATGGTTAAGTCCTTAGCAACGACCGCCCTCAAAGCACTAATGATAACGCGCGGTTTCTCCTGTTACATCGGTATTGTGTTACGAGGGACATTAGTCTCGTGGTACAGTCGGTTGTGTATAGGTCATTAATAATTCACTTTATGGGTTTAGTGGCTTTGTACTGTATAAGATAAATACTCGTTCGCAATCTGTTCTGTGTTGAAAGATCATCTTGCTTCGTTATATGTAAAAAGGGGTAAATGTTGTTTTATAAAATTGTTTTTGAGATTGCTTTACCTAGTAATTTTATAATTGTCTTAGTTAGATTTTAAGTGTTTTATTTTATGTCTATGTGTATTAAATTTACGTAAACTCACATATAACATATCATATGTAAATATGTTCTTCGCGAATGACGCAATAAAAGCAGACCGATTTTGATGAAATTTTGCAAGGGTTGGGAATTCATGAATTGACAATAAGTACAATATAAAAATAGGAAAAAAAACAGACAACAAAACAGTTAACACGCTAACAATGCAAACTAAGAATGGGATTCTGCATCTAAACGAGATGCGCTCTCACCTATTTTGGTTTTGGATATTCGGAAATCCACATCATTTACTTTTTTTTCATCTGTGATATTCTATATTTCTACTACCCTTAATATCTAGATTTCCGAAATCCAACATGTATTAGAAAAGTTATAAATTGATTAGAAAAATGTTGGTCCCGGTAGGAATCGAATCCACAAGCCGTAGATTATTAACCATATATTGCTACCATTAGACCAATGAGCCAAGGTGTTTATGTTAATTTATCGATTCGCACAAATTCTCTTGACTCTTCGAAAATCTGTGACGTCACACTAGACGGTTAACCACCGCTTAAACCCCTTTTATCACAAAAACGCAAAGACATTGAACGCACTTGAAATAAAGTAAAACTCCGTAATATCACAATTTGTCAATATGATAATAAAACAGTTTATTATTGAAACAGTGTCGCGCTATCAGTAAATTGCTAAAATATTACATCGTAATGTTGGAATTAGTTTTTAACATCGATTTGTTACGCGATATGAGATCGTTTAATGTATATTTGAAAAAGTAATACATTTTATTTTCAAACATATTAAAGGTTTAATTACAAAATTACCGTAGCGTACTTGAAACAGTGTGCACAGCGTGGCTCACAAAAACGGTAGTCCAATTGGTTGAAGAACGGAAGTGTAGTCAATTGTTTTTAAGTCGAAGACTTTTTATTTGTATATAATCCTTTTGTATGCAATGTGAAAAATGTTAAAGTTTTAAAATACTGTAATGTTCATTAAGAATTAATTAACAATAATTTTTCTTTAAAGGAGGCTTTCCTTTTAGCAATAGCGTAGTTTGAGCGAGTCGTAACCATCTGAGAAACACATTTAACGGTTTAAAAGAGGAAATGTATTGGTTAACTAATTTTTAATTTATAGCAGCCGTGATCATAAGGGACTACGCCTGTTGCAAATTTAATCATCCCAAACGTCGGGCCATAGTTAAATTAATTAAACCTTTCCAAAACTAAGATGTTTTGTGCACGACCACGCCCAAAGACACACCCAACGTGGATCATAAGCCCTACAATTGAATCGCTTATCATTCATAAAAATGTAAATCCGACTTTGCGCAGTGGCCGATAAGTGATAAAAAACGTTTTATTTATGAGCCCCAGGTGACCGGATTGATCTTCTACTATTATAAGTTATTAACTTACTTACTTACTTACTCCGCTGGCGCAGCGACCCAAAGTGAGTCTTGGCCTCCGAAACTAAAGAGCGCCATTTTTGCCGATCCTGTGCAGCTGTTCGCCATTCGGCTACACCGAGCTCGCGCAGGTCCTTCTCCACGGCGTCCTTCCAGCGATATCTTGGCCGGCCGACAGGTCGGCGGCCAGTTGGAATTCCGATATACGCTTTCTTGACACTCCGATCATCTCCCATTCTCTCCAAATGGCCAGCCCAGCGGAGTTTTTGGGATTTAGCTTCCCCCATTATATTGGGTTCGTTTACGAGGTTTTCGATCTCCTCGTTTTTCCTGATTCT